CAGTATCTTCATTTCTAAATCCTTGAAATTATAAATATACATATAATTCTTATATTTAATATCAAAGAAAAATAGATATAATTAAAAAAATTGTTTTTATCTGATTTTTTTACTATTCTTTGAGCCTAAATATAATAGGAATGGGTTTAGAAATAGAAATTTTGAAATTCGTTTGCAAATTGGGCGCATGTAGGTCAAACATCACTAAATAAGGATGGTTGATGAGGTTTGTGACACCCCGGCCCGCAAGCCACGCAAAGCCGAGCGTGTCGGGATTGCAGACTGGCCCCACAAGTCAACACGTGTCTTTCCAGCGTGTTTCAATCCCTACGTGTTAACTTGTGGGGCCAGTATGCAATCCTGACATGCTCGGCTTTGCGTGGCTTGTGGGCCGGGGTGTCACAAGGTTAGACGCAGAATTTATGAAATTATAAGATAGTTTGACACAGTTTTAAAAGTATAGGAGATTTGACGCAATTTCTTGAAACTACGGGTAAATTTTGTACAATTTGGCCTAATTATAATTTACAATTTATGTTAAAATTTTAGGGAAAATTACTAAAAAATATCCTTGTACATATGACCAATTATCACTCTTTTAATCATACTGGCAAAATATATTCAACATGTGTTATTTTTTTGCCATTTTTGCCCTCCATAGCACAATCTTACACGCACCAACACCTACAAGACATGTGTCATGACGATTGTATTCGACGAGCAGCAAGAGTATAAAAATCACGAAAAAGTTAACACATATGGGATACATTTTGCTATGGTGATAATTAAAAGCCAAAAGTAATAATTTTCCAATTTTGGATCTAAAAATAAGTTTACATTTTTTTTAGCATTTTTGCTTTTTTGGTCTAAATAACTTCAGACTAACAAAAAATTTCGATGGTTGGTTCGTATGCTTGTTTAAGATGAATCGTGTGAATTTCATTGAATTTCTTGTCTAAAATTGAGTTATATTATTTTAGCGTTTAGGGTTTTTTATAGTTCAAAATGACCTCAGATTGACAAAAAAAAATATTAATTGTTAGATCATTTGGTCGTTCAAATGAACTATGCAAATTTCGTCTAATTACGAGTCTATAAAAATAAGTTTATGTTTCGTTTGGTCGTTTCAGATAAATCGTGCAAGTTCCGCTTAATTTAAATTCTAAAAATGAGTTTATATTTTTTTGCGTTTAAGGATTTAAGGGCCCTAAACGACCTCAAATGGACAAAATAATATCGATGGTTGGTTTGTTTGGTTGTTTCGAACTGCAAATTTCTTATAATTCCAAGTTTAAAAATAGTTTTATGTTTTTTTAGCGTTTACAATTTTTAGAACTCTAAATGACTTGGATGAACAAAACAACATGATTTGTTAGTTTGTTTGGTCGTTTCGGATTAACCATGCGAATTTTGTGTAACGCTAAGTCTGAAAATATGTGTACATTTTTTTAGCATTTAGGATTTGTAGAGCCCTAAATGATCTCGGATTGACAAAATAATATCATTAGTTGGTTTGTTTGGTCGTTTTAAATTCATCGTGCTAGTCTCATGTAATTTTGAGTTTTAAAATGAGTGTAATTTTGAGCAATTATCATTCTTATCTTTTAATTGTCACCTTGACAAAATATATTTCACAAGTGTCATTTTTCGCAATTTTCATCCTCCATAGCACAATTCCACTTCGCGCCCGTGAGATTGTATCTGTCGTAGACTTCACGCACGGCCAAAGGACAAAAATTGACACATGTAGGATATATTTTATCACGATGATAATTAAAATTCAAGAGTGATAATTGACCATATGCATGAAATATTAATTGCAATTTTTCATAAATTTTTATAAATTATATTTAATAATTTTAAATAATCTAATATTATTAAAAAAAATTCATTTGATATTTTAATGATGAGGTTTGTTTGTTTAGTGTTTTGATTTGAAATATTTTTTTACTTGGGTTACGATTTTTCTTTTTTCGAAAAATAATTATATATTTAATCTTATTTCAAATGTTATTATAATTTTTTAAGTTTGAATTAGATTAATTAGTTATTTTAATTTTAAACTATAATTATTTTTATTATACGATAATTATTTTCATTAATACATTCCTAACTTTTTACTAATTATAATATTTCTAAATTCTCTTGTTTACAATAAAATGGTCATATAATCGATATAATTTTTTAAATTATAGAAGTCATTCCAAATGAGAATGACATATGTAACAAAATACTTATCTCAATTTTACATTTCTTTTTTTCATATTATACTAATTTATTTCTTCTAACTCAACAAAATATGTATATATATATACACATGTATATATGAGTAAAAATTATTTTTGGTATCATTCAATATTATAATTATCAATTTTGATCTCATTCAAAAAAAATTATTAATTTTAATCTCACTCAAATGAAAATTTATTAATTTTAGTCCCAAGATGAATGACTGGGACTAAACACGGCCGTGTTGGCTTGACGACGGTCGTATTGGATGACTCAGAAGATGACTGGGCATCCTAGCACGGCCGTGTTAATTGTTCTGCACTTCTAAACACAGCCGTGTTCCTGCCCGTGTTCTGAACACATCCATGTTCCTGCCCATGTTCTCAATACAGTCATATTCTAAGTCATGTTCCTGCTCATGTTCATATTCTAGGTCATGTTCACGACCATATTTTCAATATAATCATATTGTAGGTCATTTTTATTATTATTTTTACTTTTTGATTAAAATTATTTGATATAAATATATATATTTATAATTCAACAAAAATATTTTTTACAATTATTTCATAATATAAAAAATAATCAATTTTTAATATTTTTAAAATATATAAAAATTAATAGATTAATATATATTTTAATAATACTCTCTCCATCCCACTTACCAGGTCTACATTGCCGTTTCTGTCCGTCTTACATCCCATGTCACTTTTTTTTTGGAAAATTATTACACATTATTTTTTAATTTAAATTTTTTTAATTTTAATTAGTTATCTTAATCTTAATTTATAATTATTTATATTATATAATAATTATTTTAACTAATACATTTTTAATTATCTACTAATTATATTTATCCTAAATTCTCGTGTCTACAGTAACCCAGACATCCAACGTGGGACGGAGGGAGTATTATTTTAAATAATAAATTTAATTTATAATTTATAAAAATAATTAATTTAAAATAATTTTTTAATTTTTTATTATAAATTTTTAAAAATATATATAATGATTATTAAAAATATTTTAATATATTATTATTTTTATACATTTTTAAAATATCAAAAATTGATTATTTTTTATATTACGAAATAATTGTAAAAAATATTTTTGTTGAATTATAAATATATATTTATATCAAATAATTTTAACCAAAAAGTGAAAATAATAATAAATATGACTTACAATATGATTATATTGAAAACATGGTCGTAAACATGGCTTAGAACATGGCTGCGTTGAAAACATGGGTAGGAACATAGCCTAGAACATGGTTGTGTTAAAAATATGGGTAGGAACATGGCTGTGTTCAGAGCACGGGCAGAAACACGACCGTGTTTAGAAGTGAAGGGTAATCAACACAGTCGTGTTAAAACCAACACGGTCGTGTTGGCTGCCTGGGACACCCAGTCACCTTCTGAGTCATCCAACACGGTCGTGTGCAAGCTAACACGGCCGTGTTCAGTCTCAGTCAACCATCTTGGGACTAAAATTGATAAATTTTTATTTAAGTTGGATTAAAAAAAAAAAAAAAATTAATGGGACCAAAATTGATAATTATGATATTGAATTGAACCAAAATTGATAATTATGATGTTGAATGGGACAAAAAATAATTTTGGCTCTATATATATATTTATATTAAAATAATTTTTTAAAAAAATAAATATTTATTGCAAAAAAAACTATCAATGTATACATCATTGTACAAAAAATAAAATTTTATATTCCTTCCGTCCAAGGGAAATGTATTCATTTGACTACTTTATATGCGAATTTCAAGTATATTAGTATTTTATAAATATATTAGTGTAAAAAAAAAATTACTCTTGATATTAATTTTGTTGAAAGGATAATGTCAAAAAAACTTAAGAGTATTTTGATATTTAATTAAAAAATATTTAAAATTCTTTTTAAAAAAAGATATTTTTTACTTGAAAATGCAAAAATAACAAAATTGATATCTTATACTTTCTCCGTTCACCATCTCCATTCATTAAAATTAGCTCATTTGGTCTGTCACGGAAATAAAAAAAAATATGAATATTTATTAAAAAATAATAAAAGTTAACAGAATTAAATAATAATTTATTAACTTTATCAAAATTAATAATTGAGTAGATTTAACAAACATATTGGAAAAAAATTAAAATAAATTTGACAAATGAAGTAATATACACATAGAAATATACAAATAATATAAATGCTAAAAATAGAAAACCAAAGAGTAAAAATTTCTTGTACATCTATGCATAGATGCCCAAAAATATTATTTTGTTTGTCAAAATTTTATTATTTTTATTTTTTAATTTTATATGCTCAAACAAGTTTACGTAATTTTATCTAGTCTCGGTCTCATTTAAATTATCTCTTCTCTATATTATTTATGTTTGTCCTTTATAATTTGTTTTATTTTTTTTCTTTTTTGTTAAAAATATAATTTTATATTCATATTTTAAAATTTATAATTTTTTATTTTAATTAAATAATTTATTATTTTAATTTTAATTTATTAATTATTTAATAATTATAAAATATTTAAAATTAAATGAGACAAATTAATTGAAACCAATATTTTTTTTTCTTTTATTTTTCTTTTTTGCTCACGCAGGTTGTACGACACAGGAGAAATCTCCACTTGAGGTCTAAAATCGTTATTGGGCTTCCCAGTGGGCTGAAAACCAGTCGAATCAGTGGTCATTAATGGAGTTGAGTTGAAACAGTCAGAAACTGTAGGGAAGGCACCGAAGGGAACAGCCAGTCAGACAATCAATCATTTCTCTAAATATTTTCAACTACTTTGTAGTACCCCCCACCCCCTCCCCACCTCGATTCCTTTTTTTCCATTTCTCTGCCGCACTAATCGTCTCTTTTCAGGGTCAAATAATCACAGAAGACAAGGGTTTCAATTCCACTCACTTGGATCGGCGATGGCTTCCTCTTCAGATCGCGAGACCGCCGTCTACATCGCTAAGCTCGCCGAGCAAGCCGAGCGCTACGACGGTAAAACGTTTCCCTTTTCCGACACACTGGATATTATGCCTGAGTGACTAGATGCAGAGTACCGATGTGTGGATCTCGTTTCTGCTTTGTTTATATGCTAATATCTTGGAGTTTTGAGGACGGTTTCTTTAGTGTCTGACGTTTTGATAGAGCTGCTGATTCTAGTTAGCTTGTTTTGAAGGTTTTTGGAGTTGAAGATTTCGTGTCAGTTGAATTGAGTTTACGGATAGTTAGTAGCGGAGTTTTACTGCTTGTCCATTTGTTTTCCCTTTACCCTGTCTGATATAACCTAAGTTTGTCGATTTGTTTGCAGATCAATTAGCAGTTTTGTTGGTCAAGATTGTGTTTGTTTATACTTTTGTGAATGTATGCATGTATAGGAATTGCTGAAAGATTTCAAATATAGAAACTAAAATATGGCAGAGATGGAAGTTGTAAGAGACTCTACTTGGAAAGTTCAATTTTCTTGGTTTTGTTGAAACAGATTTTCTTCTGTTTATAAAGGCTTCTTCTTTTGCTTTTTGGAGTTTTTAACTTTTAATCGTTGTATTCTAGTAAATGTTGTTGCAGATAATGAAATGTAATAAATTTGACTGTTTCTTTGGCAATTTTATTTTGAATTTTTCAGAGATGGTGGATGCTATGAAAAAGGTGGCCAAGATGGATGTGGAATTGACAGTAGAGGAGAGGAACTTGCTATCAGTTGGGTACAAGAATGTGATTGGCTCTCGAAGGGCTTCATGGAGAATCCTGTCATCAATTGAACAGAAAGAGGAGTCCAGGGGGAATGAGCAGAATGCTAAGCGGATCAAGGAGTACAGGCAGAAAGTGGAGGCGGAGCTCACTGATATATGCAGCGACATCATGACTGTTATTGATGAACATCTAATTCCCTCATGCACAGCTGGAGAATCTACCGTGTTTTACTACAAGATGTCAGGATGCTGTTTTGTTTTTATAGTTACCTTTTAAGTTTGTATATTAATATGATGCCAGCTTTCTCCTTTCACTGTTACAGGAAAGGGGATTATTATCGGTATCTTGCTGAGTTCAAGACTGGTAATGATAGAAAAGAGGTTGCTGATCAGTCACTGAAAGCATATGAGGTATGATATAGATGAATAGTAACATTTTCAAGGCATCCACTCTTGTATAGATGATAGCTTGGTATTTATCTCTCTACAAGTGATTTTCCCTGAGTATTTACACAATACTATCTACATATGTGCCTGTAGAATGATGTGTGATTGATAATATGTGACATTCTATATGCTCGTAGAACAATTTCTAATTATAGGTCAAACCCTTGGATGAAATGAATAAATAACAATGCTACTTGTCTATTACTGAAACTTATGAATGGAAGGTTAGAAGACTGTGTATTAAGGATTGCTGCTTACCAGCAGAAATATATCTTGTTGTATTTTGGAGTTTCTGTTATATTTAGACTCTTATCAGTTCTTATGGTTTCGTCTCCTCCCATGCACCCTGCATTTGCATGCTGTCTCAGGACATCATATTTGTTATCATTTGTTTTCTTCTACATTGGTTGGATTTGGTGCTCTTGAAGTATCCTTTAAATTGGAGGCCATGGGTTTAATATTGTTCCAAATGTTGTCCTTTCTTATAAATAGCTGAAGAGCATGAAGCTCCATTTTTCACTGTTAATTATGAACATCATTATTTTTATTTATTTATGTAATTTTTCTGACATTCTAATACACACATTGATGTTTGTATGCTTGGTTTTCTATGCGGGGGTTTCTTGAAGTTGGCTACCACCACTGCTGAGGCAGAGCTACCTCCAACACATCCCATCCGCTTGGGATTGGCTTTGAATTTTTCAGTGTTCTACTATGAAATTTTGAACTCCCCCGAAAGGTCTGTCCTTTCAATAAGTAAATTAAATGTGATTTATAATGTGCTGCATTGCTGATTTTTTAGCTCCCTTATCTGTCTTTTCAGGGCATGTCACCTTGCCAAGCAAGCTTTTGATGAAGCTATTTCTGAGCTTGATACCTTGAATGAGGAGTCATACAAAGATAGCACATTGATTATGCAGCTTCTGAGGGACAATCTCACACTTTGGACCTCTGACATTCCTGAGGATGCTGGTACTATGTTAACTACAATGGATAAATCATCTAAAGCTTCAGTTCTTTGATAGTCTTTGATAGTTATTGTTGTTGCCACCATCATCAGAATCAAAATCATCTCTGGTTTCTTTCTTTTTACTATTTTTTATTTTTTTTTTTCACTGGAATTGTTATTTGGCACCATCATCACTGTCAGAATGTTCCCTCCCTCCCCAACACATATTCTGTTGCCTTCTATCCTGCAGACTCTTTGTGGTTATGCTAGAAACTCTCTAAATGTTGATAGGATAAGATTCAATTCCTACTGATTTCTCACATTCTACCTGGAAAGCAACAGCATCAGTAAACGTTACACTTGATCCATATATACTTAATTTTGTAAAAATTCTTTTTAATGAATCAAAGATTCAAATAGCAGTCTACAAACAGAGTTTGTTATTTGAAAGGAAAATTAATAATAATAAGTCTCTGTTTCAGTTAAGAATGGTACACGAAAGGTTTTGGTATTCTGAGTTTTAATTGCTTGAAAGCAGGTGAATTTTGGTCTCTCTTGATTTGTGTGGAACTCTGTTGATTTGATCCACATGCAATTAGGGTTCTTGCTGTTTTGAGTTTGTGTGTAAGGTTTTTTCAACATGTTTACACCAACTTATGCGACATCAGTTTCAAGTTGTCAGCTGAGTGCTCTCTTTCTTAGATAGGATATTGGAGTGTGAATAAGTTTAGTTGCTTGTACAAGTTTTAACTTCTAGTTGGTTGTATCTAATTTAATTTTGGTACTTATGATGCAATAATTTTAAGCTATATTCTGTTTTCTTAAAAATATAAACTGCCAGTGGTATTTCTTTTTTTTGTGAGAATTTTGAATTCTTAAAGCTTTTTAATTATAACTTTACATGCAAATCTACTTCTTTTGTTTTGTTTTGTTTTGTTTTGTTTTTTAAGCTTCTGAGGAGCTTTCAAACTTCCTGGTGTTTTTATGTGTATACAAGTGAAGTCAGCCATGCTTATGATTGATATATTTATCATTTGCAACTTCTAAACTGGAAATCATTAGTTTTTATACCCGTACATCTTGATAGATACAACATGCATTTGAAGCTATAGGTGAACAAATTAGCATCCACTCTGTTAAATTCTGTCTTCCATTATCCACTAAGCCTCTGAGTCTGAGTTTGGTATATCAATCATGAACTAATCTTGTTCAGCTTTAGGGTCAGTCATACTTGTATTACTTCGATGATAAAATCCTCTCTACGCCGCTTTCTGAATAAAACATTCCTCCTTGCAGATGATGCTCAAAAACTGGATGGTGCCAACAAAGCTGGAGGCGATGGTGCTGAGGTTGGTTATCTTCTTGACTCCTATTGTTTGTAATCTGTCTCCGAAAGTTGGATAGCAGTTCAACCATTTTCTTATACCGATGTATAATTTCATCATGCAGTGATGTGCTTCGGGAAGCATCTGGCCAGCAATATCCGAAGAGAGAATGATAATTTGGGCCAGGGGATGGTTGTTTTGGTTACAGCATATGCTTGACTTGTCGTCGTCATTGTGTCTTATGGATGATGTTTTACTCCTTATGGTCGGTGTTGTCCTGTTGTTTATATTAGATATGTTTGTGCTTTCCCCTTGCCTGGTGGATTTGTTGTGGCCAATAGGTGGTTTGATTTTTAGTGACTACCTTAGCCTAGATGAAAGATTTGTGTTTCTTTCTTTTGCATTGATCTATTCTCGACTATTGCTGGACTTGACCTGTGTGGATTAGATTTGTCTGGTGTCAAATGCTTGAGTTTTCATCTTTAATTATATCTACTTGATGGATTATAAATACTGACTTGGAGATGAGCAGGGCTTTCTCAAATCCAAGATCGGTTTTGGGGCAAACTTATTATATTTCACCATTGTTGTTCAGCTATCGGAATCCTGAGTAGGAGTTTATCTTAATTATCTGAGTCTTCTTTCTGAGTTGTGGTTAGGTTTTTAGTTTCAGTTTTAAATTAGTTTTGGTGTTCTTCCTGGTTTTGTTTCTGCTTTATATCTTTAGTTTTGATTGTTTGTGTTTGCTGCATATGATGTTTTAGGAAAGCAAGTGTTGAATATTTTGTTTAAAAAAAAAGAATAATAATTTATATATAAAAAATTGAAAAAGAATGGTAACATACGAATACATACTTTCGGTTTGCGAGTTTATGCTGTTTATTATGACAAATAACTTGTGTGTTTAGCTATACTTCTAATTCTGTGTTTTTTTCTATTTATATTCTTTTAAGGAAAAAAGTGTTGAACGATGAGTTTGCCTTAAAAAGGAATTCGGGCTTTCAACCTAAAATCAATTGGTGATAAGTGAAGTGGTTCTTCACTTTTATATAGTAGGGGTTTTTTTACATATTTAGCAATGTGGGACAATATTCAACATCCAATCTAAAATCAATCGGTAATAGGTGGAGTGGTATTTTATCCTTATAGTACGAGAGTTCTCACATATTTAGCAATGTAGACAATATTCAACATTTTTCATAATTCATGGTTCTGATATCATGTTAATAAAAAAGATTCGGACATCCAATCTAAAATCAATCGGGGTAAAGTGGTTTTTCACCCTCGTATAGTAGAGAAGTTTTCACATATTTAGCATACAATGGAGATATTCGGCCAACCTAGGATTCAAAAATGTTTTCGGAAATATGAAAATAATAATAATAATAGTAATGATACATTTAAGGCTCTATTTAATTTTGTTTCACAATTATTTCAGTATTGTTCATCAAATTTTCTTTCAAATATTATTTTAAAATATATTTTTATGTAAAATAGTAATTTTTGTTTTACTCGGTCTACTGTTATAAATTGAGAAAAAAATATTTTTCTTTTAAAAAAATGGTGAGTACAAATAATATAATTTAAAAAAATTTGACAAAATAAACACATTAAGCCTATAAACTATTTTTACATAATTTCCTGAAAAAAAAAAATGGTTATGTTACTGTGAGACGGAGGTGGTATATAAAAAAATTTATCAACTATATAGATTATTATATATATATATATATTTGTATCATATCAAATATTTATTTTTTAAAAATATATATATTCGACTTATTTTCAAAACATGAATTTAAACAACGGCTTCTCTAAAACAATAATTTGTAGAAGAGAATACGTTTACCTAGACAATCTTATATCCTTTTTTCAATGTATCAATCCGATGCCGAATCGATCCGATAGCCAATTGTATAAAATGTCTTGAGAGGCAAATCTATAGTTTGGGGAGAATAGACACTTGTCTTGTCGAGGGATTGCATAAGTATATCATATACTGATAGTCATATTTTTTATAGCACCAAAGACCAGTGTAGCAAAAGGCCCCGTTGCAAGTGCCCTCGACTTTCCGTTGCACTGTGTCAAAAATTCATGAATTGATTATGTGCAATTGCCTTCGAAAAATAGACGACATTTGAAGATGGGTTGAGATCGAAAATTCTTGTTTTCTCAGGTAATGTTAAAAGCTACTATCCCATAGTTTCTGGCACTGTGTTTCTGATTTTTTTGCAATAAAATTAGCATCGACGATCTTCGATAATCATAACTTGCAAACACCCCGGCAACATAGAAGTCTCTCCGGTGAAAGGCATGTAAGAATTCCGATCACCACATCATGTGGTAGATACTTCTCCAATTCCATGCAACTCATCGTCGTCATCAAATCAAAATCCTTTCGAGTTTCTGCTGATTTAGAATCTTGACTAGGGAAAGAAACTACACTAGGGAAAGAAACTACACTAATTTTTCTTGCACCTCTTCGACAAAGACTCCATCATCTATTGAATCTAATGAAATTTTTTCAAAATTTTGGTTGAAGAATGCCCAAAGAAAGGAAAAAAAAAATTGTTTGTTTGTTTGCGAGTAAGGGAGAGAGAGTGTGCGCAATATATATATATATATATATATATTATCACACAAAAGATAATTTAAATAGAAGATCATCAATTCAACCTACCTAGACTGGACTTATGTGTCACCAACAAATTTCAATTTGTTGAAATAATTGTGCGTTCCTAAGTAACTTGTCATGTCAACTACTAAGACAGGTTTTTCGATTACGGAATGGAGGTCATATTAAAGCCAAAATAAGTCGTCCACAATCTTCTAGAGAGTTCTAGAATATATATTTTATAAAGCATTTTATACCTAGACTATTTCATGGGGTTTTCAAAAGTTACATCATGCTTCTTAAGATTATTTCCAACTCATCAATTCTATTTATTCGGTTTTAACTCTAAATATGTTGTTGTTACGGTAATTTTACTCCAACGTAACTCCATTTTTCACTATTATTCTTCAAATATTCAATTTTTCCTATTATTTTAAACAATTTTTTATTTTTATAATTTAAAATAAAATTTTAAAAAATAAAAATTAAGTTTAAAAGTCAAATTTATAATTTTATAAATTAAAAAAATTAAATAATAATAATAATAATAATAATAATAATAATAATAAAGCAACGCCATTTTTTGGTATTGCTACAGTGCAACACCAAAATTGGCGTTGCAACGTAGCAACGCTAAAAAGTGGCGTTGGATTTGACGTCGGTTGGAGACAACCGACGCCAAATAAGCCAACCCAACATCATTAATGGCGCTGGGTTGAAGATGCTCTAAGGTTCCGGATCCGCCATCTTTTGAAAAAATTTCAGAATATTTTTGGACTTTACAAATTAACCCTGTAATGATTCCTCTTATATGACGACCTTTACCAAAAACTTAAGCCTTCTAAATTACAACTTTAAATCCAAAACTTCTATCTAATTATAAAAAAACGGACGTTTTTAGCTTTTCTTAAACGAATTTCATGAAGCACTTTTTCTTCTTCAGACGGCCATTGTTAACCTTCTCCATGCCTATTAACATTTTATTCTCTTGTTTGGGTTCCGTCTTGTGGGGTTTGTCTCCCGAATTATCTCTTTCACTATTCTCTTCGATCATCCTCCGATCCATCGGAATTTGATAAGGTCCTCCGAAACCGCAATTGCTTGGGCCAAATCTCGAATGTTATGTCGCTTTACTTCAAGTGTTTCCCAAGGTTGCATCACATTCAACAAGTAGAATAGTCGGTCTTTCGAGCACAAGTGAAGAAAACTCGATGATATATTCCTTAATGCTCCCCGAATGTATAAGGCCACGACTGGCCACCACCTTAGCATTTTCTAGATAGAATTGCCGCTTCGAGGTGTCCCACGTATCTATCCGAGCCGCCTCCCATATAATATCGTTGTGGCGCCTCCTCCACCACAAAGCCGCATCGTCCCACAAGTACAAGACCGTTATCTTGATCTTGTCCCCATCATCTTTCATTCCCACCCCATGGGATCACCTGACCCAAAAACAAACTCTATTCTCATATCTCCACGTACACGTGTGTATGTACTAGTATTATTTTATATATACACACTGTGTATGGGACAACGAGGACAGAGTTCCGCCCGGGACAGACGATCCCGTCTACATTCCCACTACATCTAAATAGTTTTCGAGATACCAAAAAAAATTATCTAACTCTTCAACTCGTTGAGTCCCGTCAAAGTGTTGTTCTCAACCTTGTTCATATTCACCTCAAGGGTGTTCAATCGCTATAATGACTCCCCAACGGAAACCTCGAGTTTGATTGCCCGAGCATCCAAGCTAGCAAGAAAGTCACGAGACTTGCTCCTCAGAGTCTCGCCTTTCTTTGCATACATCGTTGCTACAATTGTTGTTTGCATCCGACACATTTTCGGCGCTCTTTTCCGATATTCTCACCGCTTGATAACATCGTCGCTAATTGATACCACGTGTCACGGGCTAACTTCAATCCAAGTCGAAAACCCTAAATATATAATTAGTTAATTAATTAATAAAAATTGAAGGTAGAGCAGATGAGATCATCAATGCAACCCACAGATAGGTATATATAACATTATTATTCCGTAGTAGCAGTTGCAGGCAACGGCAATGTAACAATACACGTAGTCGATTTGATACACACACACACACATATATATATATATACAATGATCGATATATCCATGGCAGTCGTCATGTCTTCGTCGTCGTCGTCGTCGTCTATGGATATGCCTCAATGACAGAGACGATAGACGATTGAATGTTTTTTACAGTGTAGGTAGCGAAGCCAGCTTGTTTTATGACATGATCCCATTCTTTCAGTGTCCTCTCCTTACCCGTCTCGGTGTGCGCCAGCATTATCATGTCCATTGCCAGACGCACCTCCTCGTACTTGTCGTCGCCCACCTCTTCCTCGTTGATCACTGCCTCCGCCATTATCACCTTCCCTCTCCCCTTCGGAATCGCCTCCACACACTTGCTCAATATCTCCGCGCACTCTTCATCGTTCCAATCGTGCAGCACAAACTTCACGTACAGTTTATTCAATTGATTATTAACCCACATCTAAAAGAAAATTAATTAATTTTACAATAATCATATATTCTTAGTCTCAACTTAATTGACACATTTCTATTTTTTTAAGTTATTAAATCAAAATATACTTAATAAATATAAATCAACTTAATTAACTACATAATATATAATTTCTTTAATTAACTACATAATATATAATTTCTTACACTCACTCGAAACTCCTTTATTTCTATCTCTCTTTTAAAAAAAAATTATTATTATCTACCTTTAAAATTTCACCTCTTTTATAAAATTAATAAATTCAGTTTTTTATCTATTTGTATTATAGAAAATTTTATTCTTTACAAAATAATATATATTCTATATATTTTTTTTTATTACAATATGATAATTTTTAAAATATTTAACTATATATTCCAATTTTTTCAATTATATATATATAATTTATTTTAAAGTTACCAATATTATTAATTACATAATAAATAATAAAATAATATCATACTTCACTTTTATTAACTAATTAAACATTTTAGTACCAGTACAGCTGAGGGAGTATTAAACTACCATGATAAAAGCGGCATCGGCCTTGGGAACCATTTCAAACATGTCGCCGGCGACGTGCTCTATCCCCTCCGACGGAGGAGCCTCCGACACCACGTGAGGGAGGTCCAAATTGATGCCGTGGATGGCGGGAAAGGTTCCCGCCAGAACTCTCAGAGCAGTGCCGTCGCCGCCGCCGACATTGACAATCGACGACAGCCCCTCGAACGCCTCCGGGCAACACTGAATTATCCTCGACATTGCCAGGCTAGCGTGGCATGACATTGCATCCTCAACCAGCTTGTTATGGGACGGATTCCCCGCCGCGTAGGCCCACACATCGCCGCCGTGTGTAGCCGCAAATGCCGAAGCTTTCGGGTCCATTACCCGGCGGCTGAGGCGGTGCCACGGCGCCAGCATCACCGGCGAGCTCTCCAGCATCACCATCGGAGCCAAGCTGAAATTATTATTATTATTATTATTATATTTGAGAAGAAGGCGGGAAAGGGGAGTCTGGGCGTAGCAGGTTAGGGATGATTCATCTTGGCCTTGAGAGAGGTGGTTGAAGATCCGGCGGTGAACCAAATAGCGCATAATCCGGCGGAGAGTTGAAGGGGGGCAGCCGAGGGCGGCGGAGAGGTCGCAATGTGTGATGGCGCCGCCGTGAGCTTCTAAGACGTCGGGGATTTGGAGTTCGATAGCGCACTTGACTACCGCCATTGGAGTGAACCCGAAGGCGTACTGCCATATCTCCAATTGCGCTTGCGCCTGAGCTTCTTCTTCTTCGTTGAAGTTGTCGCCGGCGGAAACTGTTACTTGCTTCTTTTCCATCTTTGATATGGTAATGTGCAAGAGATCTCGATGCTATCTCGCCATTGCTGCTGCTGTAATTTATAATTGCACATGTGGGTAGGGTTTAGGGTAGACTTTTTTTGGGGTTTCAATCTAGATTTTATTAATACTATTGTTGTTTTCTTTAAACATCAAATCAAATTTGGGTTTTTTTTTTTTTTTATTAAGACTAGGGAACTGCAGCGGATACCCGAAAGTGCACCTTGGGTAAGGGTAAAGGCCAAGCCGAATCTAATACCCTGTAAACCAGATCCGACGAGAAAGTCACATTAGGCGTCGGAGGATTTGAACCCATGACCTGACGATCATAAATTCAACTCCTACACAACCGGACCATCCCTTACGGGACATTTATTAGATGCATGTGTGTTTGTTTTAGTGTTGATTTTGAATTGAAATTTAAATAGTAAAAATTTTGAATTGTAATAATTGTATAATGTGATATAAATACGTGTTGATGTGATGTTTTGAATGTAAATTTAATTTTTAATATAATATAAAAAACTAAAAATTAGACATTTGATTTGATGTTTTTTGAAAAAAAAAATTGAATGAATAAAAAAAATTCCTTGAAATCCTCCAAAAGAAATAAGGTTTTTTCATTTAAATAATATTTTGATTGATATGATTTTAAATATAGGGTGTGTTTCTTTCTATTAGCTTGAAAAGAAATTTGATTTGAATTTTATATTAAAATAATATTTGATTGGATGTTTGTGGAAGAAAAAATGCATTTTTTTCATAAAAAACAGGGACCTAATAGTAAAAAAAAAACTTAAATTTTAAGTTAAAGAAACATATCCATATTTATATATATATACATATTTTATTTTTTTCATAAAAATTAACATTTAATTATAAAATATATATATATACTTATTCCCTCTCATTTCAAATGGCTGCTTTTTAGAGTTTTGTTGTAAATAAAAAATAATGTTGTAATTCCATTTTAAAGTATCTTTTTACTTACTTTTAAGTATTTTTTTTTTATTTTAAAAAAAAGGTAATTATACACTAATATTAAAATATTTTTAAGCGTATACTTAAATTATAAATAGATCATTACATATACAATTATATTATATATAAAGTCAAAGAGTAAAAATGTCAAAAATTATTTACACATTTCCACTAACTAATAAAATACTAATATTTTTTAATCTACTATAAATTCTGAATAGACCATTTGAAATGGATCGGATCGGAAGAAGTAATATTTTATTGGGTTGTGAAAGTTTATAAAAATATTTGACATTTTAATCTTTGATTTTATAAGATTCAAATTAAATATTTTGTAATAGTTTTTTTTTCAACTGAAAATATTTTTTTTATAATTTAAGTTTGTTTCAATTAAAAATATTTATTTTCTATTATTTAATAAAAATAAATACTAGTAGTATATTTATGGGTAAAGTATGGGTAAAGTATAAGGAGCAAAAATATTAAAATATCTTACATAATTCAATAACTAATAAATATCATTATTTTTTAAATTCTATAAAAACTCAAATAAATACTTTGGGGTGTGTTTCTTTTGGTTGGTTATGAAAAAATTTGATTTGAATTTGGTATTAAAATAATATTGAATCGGATGTTTTGTGAGAGAAAAAAAAAAAAAAAAATTCCGAGAAACGCAAAAATTTGGTTAAGAAAACAGACCCCAAATTGGGTCGAATGTAGCAGTATTTTAGTTAATCCAGTATATTTTTACATGTTATCTACTTTCTCCGTTCTGCCATAGATACTTTTTTTCTTTTTTAATATGTTCCACAAAAGATAATCATTAAAATGTAACTTTATCAATCTTAAACATACTTAACAAATACTCCCTCTGTCCCTTAACAATCTATTCATTTTTTCATTTTGGTCCGTCCTATAACAAAGTATCCGTTTCCTATTTTTAGTAATTGTACTATCTACCTAACATTGCAAATACCCTTCTAATTTACAATATATTACATAAATGTCATTACTTTTATATCATACAATACTAATAGAGTTATTTAGTCTTTTTACTTTATTTCTACTTTATCTCAATATAATACTAATATTTCTAAAATCCCGTGCATGAACAAATGGATAGATAGATTGGGGACGGAGGGAGTATAAATCAATTTAATTAAACTTGTAACATCTTAGAAGTATGACCCACTCAAAACCCCTTAATTTTTATTTCTCTCCTCAATTAACATAATTTTTTATCTATATTTAAAACTCCTCAATTTTTTATAAAACTAATTTATGGTAATGATAAATAAATAAAAATATAAAATATTTTTAAACTAATTTAAAATATTTTTTTATTTATTTGTATTATATAAAATTTTATTATCTACAAAATGATATTCATATTGCATATATTTTTTCGAGATATAATTTTAAAAATTTTTAAAATACCAATAATATTATTTATATAAAAAATAATAAACTAATTATTCTAATTTATTATTAATAACTTACTAATTTACACTATTAAAAAAGATATTTTTCTAATAAAAGTGTTCATCCCTCGCAGCAGGCGGGAAGAATGGAGTATTATAAATAAAATAGTAATATTTCTTAATCATTAATTCATTACTGTAACTAATAGGTGTCACCTGCGGGTTACCTTAAATGTTAATAATTAACAATTAATCAAATAATGGATGGTCACCCGATAGCCTAAGTAGCTTTTTTCGTCCACCAATAGAAAACTAATCATCCACTTGCATATTTTATGTGTATTTCTTTTCTTTCTTTCTTTTTTCTTTTTCTAATTTTTCTAAAAATTACTAATAATTTACTATATTGAATATGTTACTTTAAAAAATAATATTATATTCTCTCTTAATTATCGATCCATTTTTTTTAATTTGGTATTTCTCAAAACAAAATATTAATTTTTTTTTTCAGTAATCATAATACCTATCTCTCATTAAAATTACTTTTTAATTTACACTATATTATAAAAATATCACTACAATAATTTATACCTTAAGGACATTTTTGTATTTTTACTTTTATTTCTACGACTCTCAATATAATATATTAATATTTATAAAATTTCGTAAAAAAAATAAACGAATAGATAAATAAGGGACGAAAAAAGTATAATCTTTTACTTATAAAATATCTCATTTAATATTAAACTTAAATTAATCTTTTCCAAATTCAACAAAAAAAAAAAAAAAAAAAAAAGATAGACCATATACTACTCCATTCTATTTGTCTATATATTTTAAATTGAAATATTTTAATTTTTCGTAATAAATTATTATTTTAATATTGTTGTCTTATTAAATCATATTTCTTTCTTTTCATAATAAATTATTTCCTCCATTCCGGTGCAAGATTGTCGTTTATTTTTTGCACGTAGATTTTTTAATATTAGTGTTATAATGGTTGTAGTGAAATGAACAAAAATACATCTTGTAATAGAAAAGTAATGACATTTAGGTAGTACTATCACTAAATTATGAAATAGTAACCTTATTTTGGGACGGATAAAAATAAAAAATGACAATCTTTCAATGGGACGGACGAAGTATAATTTTTTTTTGTTTTAATTTATCCTATTTTACTTTCTGCAGTGTTACGGTGCATCCTTGGACCGAAGAACTAATTGTATCAAAAAAATTTAACTTGGGAGATAATTTTCATAAAGAATTAAGTTACAAAACTAAAATATAAGAAGATATGTTACTAACTAAAAAATAGTTTCCCCATTTCTAAATATGATATGGACAGATAAATTACTATGCTAGATAACTATATATAATTAATGATCAATAAATTATTATTTGATAGATAACTATATAATTAATTAATTATAATGGTAGTATTAAGGCCGGTTAGTAATAGTTTTGTTTTTATATACTCCCACCGTCCCCGGAACTAAATATTCATTTATTTTTTACACGTAGTTTTAAAAATATCAGTATTATATTGAGATATGGTAGAAATAAAATATAAATGACTAAAATAACCTTATTAGTATGTGTGATATAAAGGTAGTGACATTTGTGTAATATATTGTAAGTTGTAAGGGTATTTGTAATGTTAGATAGACAGGACAGTTACTAAAAAAGAAATAGATATTTTGTTATGGGACGGACTAAAATTGAAAAAATAGATACTTTATTATGAAACGGATGAAATATATAATTAGGGGTATAGAATCAAATATCATATAAATAATCGGATCCGTTCAACTTGAAAATTTTCAAGTTCGAGATTGAACGTTTCAAGTTTCTAAAAAATCAGATCGATACAAACTCGAAGTTAAAAAAAAAAAAAAAAAAGTCAAATTTCAGCTTTCAAGTTGACCTGCAATTATACTTTTTTATTTATTTTTTTATAATATTTACATTATATTAAAAGAATAATAATATAAAAAAAATTAAATTATAACAAAACTAAAATTAAAATTATTAATTCTAAAAAGCAATTTCTAAAATATGTAATACATTATTTTATTAGATTTTTTTTTAGATAAATTAAAAAATTTTCAGGTTTTCGAATTTGTTTCGTGTTAGGTTCGTTCGAATTATCGGGTAATCGGAAACTAAATCAGGTTGACCTGAATTTGACTCGAAAAAAATTAGTTTCATGTTTGAATCTAGAGTGCCTTATTGAAATTCAGGTCCAGGTCGACAGATTTTTTTGTTACATCGATACGAACATGATCCATTGACACCTTTAATTTTAATATTACATCTGGCTCATAAGAAGAGTGTCATTGATTTTTTAAGTCATTATATTTAATATTAAAAATATTTTTATATTTGTATAATTTACTTTACAAATATCATTATATTAGTATTATAAAAGATTATAGAAATATATGGCTCCGTTCACCCAGCATTTCTAAATGAATTGATTTTTTGTGTGTAGTATTGATAATTGTGTTACAAATATAAAATATATTCCCTCCGTCCCAACTGAGTTGTCTTGTTTTTTCATTTTCGTTCGTCCCAAAACAATTGTCTTGTTTTCTTATTTAGTAACGGTGGTCCACTTTATAACAAAATTATTTCTACTTTTCTAAACTACCCCTAATTATTATTCTAACTTACTTTTTAAAATCATTCAAAAACCAAGGGTATTTTAGTCTTTTACCTTCTACTTTATATCTATTGGGATGGATGGAGAGAGTATTATTTTAAATTAAATATTTTGACTTTTTTTTTACTGTATTTGATTTTTTTATTTTTTTACTTTTATAAAAGATATTACTATTTTTTATTGTTTATTACTCCCTCATTCTAATATAATAGTCTTATTTATCATTTTTGTTCGTCCTAAAACAATAGTTTTATTTTTATAAATAATCATATTACTATAAAACTGGCATTGTTTTTTCATTATTATTATTAGACAATTGTCACTATTTCTTACACTAATACACTCACAAGAGCAAAAAAAATTTTTATCCGTATTTTTTACCCACTACCAATATAATATCAATATTTCTTAACTCTCGTGTCAAATACAAATCAGACTATAATTTTGGGATGTTGGAAATATTATTTTTTTTTAGAATCATAATTAATATATAGTATGGGGTAAACAAAGTCATTTTTTTTTTTAATTTTTATTATATATTACCCAAATGATTTATATTAAAATATTTAAACTATAAATCTTTTATAAAATTAATTTATATTAATTATAAATAAATAATTTTTTTTTTTATTTACTTGTATTATAAAAATTTTATTTTCTACATACAAAATGATTATATTTCATATATTTTTTATTACTATATAATTTTAAAATATTTAAATATATATTTTAATATTTTTAATCATATATATTAAATTTACTTTTAAATTATAAATATTATTAATTATATTAAAAATAATAAAATAATATCATAACTCATTATTATTAAATAATTAAATATATTTACCTTAAATACTTTGTACTTAATCAAACGATTCAATTAAGATGTTTTACAATTTAAATTAACGTATAATTTTAATACATATTTATCAATATTTTTATTAGCTATCACATCAAAACTTTCAAACTAAAATCACAACTTATAAATCTAAAAGAATATAAAAATTCAAATTTATCATAAAATTTAAATTTAATTCAAATTCAAACTTAATATTCTGAAACTACATTAAAAAAAAACACTCTTAGCGTTCTAATTTGAATTTTTTTATTTAAAGTATTGAAAATTTTGTCGAAAAAAATGCAACAAAGCCAAAATTGTTTAGCATTGAGAACTAATTGGTTTTAATTTTTGTGTGTGTTTGTTTTAGGAAATATTACCTCCGTCAGGTCTTTTTTGGATTTTGTAAAAATTAATAAATAATAATATTTTATTAATTAATAAAAATATATAAAAAAAATTTATATTTGATTTATAATTGTATATATAATGATATATTTATAATTTAAATGAAAATTAAAATTATTTTGATATTAATATATAATTCTTTTTTCTAAAATAAATACTTTGTGTGGGATATATGAAAATAATAAAAGAGATTAATATATATATAATATAAATATAATAAATAGGAATGATATATTAATTTTTATTTATTTTTTGAAATATATTACTAAGTTTTCCATTAGAATAACACACACTCCTTTTTTTTTTTTTAATAAGTAATTTTCGTAATATTTAAAAAATTAATGCATGCTTGAAAGAATTGTGTAGAAGGGAATATTTGTGAATTTTTGCAACAGCCGCAGCGGCGGGCAGATGGGCGGCGGAGGAAGATTGTTATGGCGGTTGAGTCATTGTCTCGAGGTTGCCGCATTCCGTAGACTTCAACCTCACATTCTCTACCCGTCAATGAATTATCTTCGACCTCCGTACCGGAGCCCGGGGCGTATGCTCCTTAGCAGCTTCTACTCCACCTTCACCAACGATGTACAGTCTCAGCCCCCACTGTCAGTCGATCTAATGTGTATTATGGAGCGGAAGCTATCTGCTTTAGAAGAGCGACACGTTCATCTACAGAACATTGTGAATCAGGTGATGCTCGAGTATAAGTTCATGTTCACGTACACCATCTGTTCGATGAAATTCCTCTGTATCAAATTCAGTTCGGTTTTCTTTTTAAGATAGCTGGACGCCTCCCCGGAAGAATATTCTGCTGCCAATAAAGAGCTGAAGAAGCTTCGACGTACCATTGATGCTCTGACTGAATTGCGGAAGAAGGAGAAGGTAAAGTACTCATTACCTTTTCTTGCATTACCCGTTACGCGCTGAACGACACTGTTCCTGCTGTTGACAGGAGATTGAAGGCTTAAAGTCTCTGATTGATGAAGCGCAAGATGACAAAGAGATGCAACAAATGGCTTCCGAAGAATTCGAACAGGCAGCCACAGAAGAGAAGCGCCTCCGTTACTCATTGCTCAAGTCCTTGCTACCGAAGGATGAAGCTGATGAACGTGACTGCATATTGGAAGTCAGAGCAGGTAATGTATCCCATCATTTCAGATGCCACATTCTCATCTTCTGCGTGCACCTTGTATATTATTTTACATGTGCTGAGTTGATGTTTCGATTGGTATCTTAGGAACTGGAGGAGAAGAGGCCTCTTTGTTTGCGATGAACATATTCAAAATGTAGGCTGTTTCTTTACATTTTAAAAATCTATTGGTATTTATTGTACATTGTTAGATCTTCATTTTCAATAACAAAAGGTATGAGAAGTATTCCCTGAAGAAAGGTTGGAAGTTCGAAGTCTTGGATGTGGCTGTGTCTGATATTAAAGGATACAAGGTTGGTGGAGTAATTGCATTGCTAGAATTGCTTTCAATAGAAGAACATGACTCAAAATGGATTTTCCCTCCTTCGGATTTTGTGTTATCTTCCATTGTTGCATATTTTAGGCCCTATGACAATATCTTCAAATGCTTCTCTCCTCAGGAAGCTACTGCTGCTATCACTGGTGCAGATGTTTATGGAAAACTGAAATTTGAGAGTGGAATTCACAGAGTGCAGGTTTCATTTATTCTCAATCTATTCATGTTTGGATTTCCTGATGTTTCCATATCTTTGAAGATTCTATGAGTATGTTTTGCTTTAGCGTGTTCCTGTGACGGAGAAAGCTGGTCGAGTCCACACCAGTGCTGTGTCTGTTGCCATTCTTCCTCAGGCAGATCAGGTTTAGATTCATCTAATGTATTGTACTGTCATTGCTTACTGTTAGAAAGTAGAATCTGAAATAAGAAAATAGTGAGTTCGGGCAGTCTTGATTCTGTGATTGTCTGTAGTTATGTACTACTAAATTTGTGCTGACTCAAGTTCATACCAATTTATATCGTTTGAAGACATTAAATCTTATTTAGGTGGATGCACACCTGAAAAGTGAAGACTTGAAGATCGACACATATAGGTCTGGTGGTTCAGGTGGTCAGCATGCGAATACCACAAACAGTGCTGTTAGGGTTACTCATGTACCAACAGGCTTGACAATTTCCATACAAGATGAGCGCTCCCAACATCAGGCAAGATATTATGTGGTTTTTAGATTTACAAAAGATTAGTTTAATCACAGTAATTTTCCTGTTACATGTAAATGTTGTGTGTTGTCTTCCATCACCACTGGTTGCCATCTGTCTGTCTCCTATCTGAGTGTAAAATTTTAGTTGCATTATGTGATGGGACTCAAATTTTATTGCTTAACTAAAGTAACCCAAGGAAAGATTGCCGAAAGAAGAAGGGAAAACAAGAACACAATGGGGATAACCCAAGGCTAGCTTAAAATATATTCCAAAAGAAGAGAAACAAAAAAAAACTAGCAATCCCTAATCAATCAATAAAACGAGAAACCCATTGGCTAAGCTCATCATAGATAAACCCTAAACAAAATTGAAACCAGTTACTTATCCTCTTTCTCCTTCTGGTGTAGACAATTAAATGTTTATTTGAATCTTGATTGCGTCTCATATCATAATTTCTGTGTAAGGGCTGCTTACATATTGAACATTGTGGCCTAATATCATGAATGAATCGACTAATATAACCAGCCATTGCGGTATAAGCGACTAACTACTCAGTTTCTTAAAATGACTGCAGTTCATTTATACAACTGGTAGTAACTTTGTTTCTTTTTTTTTTTTTGGCATTTCCTTGCATATATTTTTGTGTTTATATTTTTGTGTTTCTTTGTTGTAGATATCTGTAAAGTGCTGCATCCAAATATGTATGAAAGATGGACTTCTCGTGATTGCTTGACATGTTTTGTGGGAAAAACTGTTGAAATATTTATTTAGAATGTTATTCTCCTCCGTTCCATATAATTTGTCCTTATTTTTTATTTTATTTTGTCTCATATAATTTGTCTTTTTTTTTTTCGGAAATATAATTATACAATTTAATCACATTTTAAATTTTAAATTTTATAATTTTTTTAATTTTAATTACACTATTTAGTTATTTTACTTTTAATCTATAATTATTTTTAATATACAATAATTATTTTTACTAATACACTTCTTAATTACTTACTAATCATACTTTACCTAAATTCTCGTATCTACAGTAACACACCCAAATTACAGTGGACGGAGGGAGTATTAATCTCTCTCTATGTTTTGGTGGCTTTTACTTCTAGCTGTTTTTACCTAAGGAGGTCTTATTTGCTGCCATGTTTGTTTCATGTCTAGTTGATGGCATATTCTTACTAGTATATTTCTCACCAGAACAAGGCAAAAGCGCTTAAATTATTGTGCGCAAAGTTATATGAGATGGAAAGGAGTAGGGTCAATGCCAGTCGTTCGAAGCTTAGAGCACAGCAGGTAATTTACTACAAAATTTGAAGATTCTAAACTCCCATTGGTGGTTTATCTAACTATGTTTCCGTGGTTTGAACAGATTGGGAGTGGAGACAGATCAGAACGTATACGTACTTATAATTTTCCTCAAGGTCGCGTCACTGACCACCGAGTTGGCATTACTAGCCATTCGATAGATGGTGTCATGGAGGGGGAGGATCTGGACACATTTGTTGATGCACTCATCTTGAAAGAGGAGATGGATGCAATTGAGTCTTTCACTTCTACTCAGTAAGAATTATGAGGTCATTTCTCTAACTAGTTTTCCTATTCAGCTGCATTACTTCATCCCATCATCTGGTTTTAGTTTCCACCATTGCTTGGTTAATTGGCAGTTGCTGTATTTTTTGTAAAAGTCTCACAGTCCTCAATCCTCTTGTTACTGGAGGATTTGGAAAATTGTGGTTCTTTTGTGTTTGAATGTTTTTATAAGGTTGAGAATAATGTAGAGTCCGAAACCGGTCTTCCCTGCTTGCTAGTGCATTGAGACATGAAAGTTAAATACACTTAGGTTGTGTTTGGTACCCAGAAATGACGAGAGAGAAATGGAAATTGTATCATTTCTTTTGTTTGTTTGAGTCAGATAAATGAAACTTGAGAAATAAATTATTTTCATTTCTCTGTTTTCATTTCCTATATACAGAAAAATAGAGAAAAATGATGTAGTATATGTTTTTTTAATTTTTAAATTTTTTTGTACTATTTCATTTTTATAATCTTTTTAAAATTATATTATTTTAATTTTACAAAAAAACAAACTTAATTTATTTTTAAAGTATTTAATTTTTACTATATTTTAATAAATTGTATTAGAATATAATTTTAAAAGACATAGTATATAATTTTTAATTTTTATGATATTCCATTCTCAGTACCTAATGGTGTGTGGGTTTGGGGTGGATTTTTTAATAATAAAAAATTGAATTTGAATTATTGTTTGATATAATATAAATAATCTTGGGATGTAATGTTTTGAATGTAAAATAAATTTAGAATATAATATAAAAAAATTATTTAATTTAATATTTTAGAAAATAATAAATCTAAATAATAAAATCTTTGTATAAAATTTACAAAAGAACACGTCCCAAGAGATTTTGGATAAGAAAACACATTCATATGTCATATTATTCTCCAAGGAGTATTGTAATTGTATACTACCTCCTCTAACTTCTAATAATTATATTTTCAGTCATTTTATTTAATATTAAAAATATTTATATTATTATATTTATATTATTTTTACTAGTATTATAAAATATTAATATAAATATTTTTACTATTTTCTTTAATTTTATATTATATTTAATATAAAAATTAATATTAAAAAATCAATGAGTTAAAAAAAATTTTAATTTTGATTTTATTATATTCATAATACATCAAATAATTTTAATTTTAATTTTAATTTTAAAAATATATTAATACTAATTTTTTAAGGAAAAAATCCCATAAAACCTAGCCGCCACCCGCCTCCCCTTCACCCCTGTCTTCTTTCTTTCTTTTCTTCTTCCTTTCTTTCCCCCTCCTCTTTCTCCACTTCTCCCATTTTCGCTGCTGCTGTCGCCGGTGAGTTTAAAAGGTCTTTTTTCCCCTCTTCCTTCCTCTCCTCTTTCTTCTTCCCCTTCTCCTCTTCCTTCTCCTTTTTTTTACTCCTGCAACTGCCGCCGGTGGTCAGCTCGCTTCAGGCTTTATTATTATTATTATTATTATTATTATTATTATTATTATTATTTGGGTCATGTACAACGCATAATCAATTCTAGTTTGAAATGATTTTCGGTTTACTCTTACGAAATCGAAATTATCGTTGAGGTTGGTCCACTCTCATGTCAACTCTGGGTGATTCTCCGTAGAACAACCGACTTCGATGCCGAATTGAGAATAGTTTAATCGTTCAAGAAAAAAAAATGATAATCAACCATCGATGAAATTTGCAACTTTTCCCATAGTGTGTTTCCATCGAGATGATTAATTTGAAGTGCATATGTTTTTTGCAGTTGCTTTTTTTCTCAGCATCAATGGAGCACGGATCGTACGAGGATCAATCACAAGCGACGTTTTCATTGACAGATGAAGATCACACCATTGCGAATGCACTAAGATTTACACTTAATCAAGAGTGAGTTCTACTAACCACAATTTTGTATGTACGCTGTGTTGAGGAATTTGTAAAAGCTAATAAGCAATTAACACCCATTGATCTCTTCAGACTCATGTGCTTAGGTAAATCAATGACTTTCCTGTATAGAGTAGATTTTCCAACACCCATGAATATTTCTACTAATTGTTTTCAATCAGCTGTTAGTTCATGGTGTTATGCTTGTTTACTCATATCCTCTTATTGTGATGATTTGATCTTCCAGCCCAAGAGTGTCATTTTGTGGTTACAGCATACCGCACCCGGCAGATGCTAAGGTGAATATAAGAGTCCAGACAACTGGTAAAGTTTGTGAGATCATTGCCTGCAATTTATGATTTGGAAAATGCTTGTAAAAACAAAGCATCGTAATGGTTATGTTTATGTTATGCTTATCTAAAAGGTTGTCTTGTTCTACTTTCGTTGTAGGTGACCCTGCACGAGAGGTATTGAAGGATTCTTGCCAGGATCTAATGCTTATTTGCCAGCATGTTAGGAGCACATTCGACCGGGCTGTTATGGAGTTCAAGAGCAAGCAGGGAAAATAATCCATGGATTTAAAAATGTAATGCATCCCTTTACCATATATCCTTTCAATGTATGACAACTCTGTTATAAAGGTTAGGGGTTCTTTATGTATTGTTAATTGAATCATGAGGACACAGTGATGAATGAGAGAATGTAGATGGGGATCTTATTGTGGTTCAAAGATCATACTCTGTGTTTATGTAACCGGGGCAAGAAATATATTGAAAAGTTTTTCACTTGAATAGGTGTATTGAATTTCATTTACTACAGTAGGTTCAGATAAATATTATTCCATGTGCTTTTGCTTAATCTGCTTGCACATGAGTAGTTCAAAAATCCTAATATGTAAGAAACTAGCGAAAACACGAAAACTCAAAGGCCTGTTGCCTTTGTGCTGTTATTGAGACCCTGATTCTTCAGGTTGTTTCTTTCAGTAAAAGAATATGAGGGTACTTGCCCACATGATATGTTAATTAAGTGAGTACAACATCAAAGTCGCTCACTGTCCATTCAGCTGTTTCGCTTCGATCACTAATAAAAATTTCTGTTCCAACATCCAGAGATGTCCATATTCTTCTTGCAGGCTTGCTACCGGGATCCTGAAATCAAGAAATGAGTAGTCAGACAAATTTCTAGTTGTTTAACTTGTTTTGTTCTTGAATGCTCTTTCTTCTTAACTTGGAATCGTAGAAGGATCATATTTGGTTTGCAGATAAATTGTCGTGTTGGTTTACCTGATAAAAGTAAAGTCTACTGGAAAGCCCACCTACATCGAGCTCCCATGTTCTCCCGTCTCCAACCCAGCCGTGTCCCTGCTTGGTCGGGTAGCCATACTCTTCCCAGATTGGATGAGGCAGCAACTGCACCAATTCTTGTGGCTGTGGATTGCTGTAGGGATCGCAGACACTGAATGGAAGCTCGGCATACTTTGCATTTCCCGGCACACAGTAATAATGGTAAGCTCCATAAGGGAAGTTTTCAGTGTCGTTCCTGAATATTTTCTTGTCATCCGGCGTAATGTGATATGGTGGGCAGTTAGCCAGGTTGGTCGGGCTGCACCAAGCTCTGGTGTCCGGGTTGATGATCATCTCGGAGTATCTAGTGACATCGGACACCACATCTCCGTCGCATGGGGAGCCATTGTTCTTCCAGCAGCTGCCGATGTCCATCAGGTAAAACTGACTCTGATTCCCTCCCCCAATTTTGATATCAAGACTTAGTCTCACCTTAAAATTAGGAGACTCTGGAAGCTGCACAGCACAGCCACAGTTTGTTACTACATTTCTTATCGATGAATAATGTTTTGAAACAGCTTACAATTTTGAGCATCCCTCTTGTGTCATAATGGTATCCACCAGAAAAGCCTTTAGTAGCATCAGCTCTGAGGTAGAGCATGAGCCATGGATACTCTTTTGAAGTAGTGAGTGTATGCTTAAACTCCCAGCTCCCTTTCCCGACTTTCTTCTCCCAGATTACCTCGAAATAGTCTTCCCTGCTCCCGTAACTTCCGTTAAACCCACCTCTCATAACATCCCTGAAAATTGCTGTAGGATTGTGGTAAAAGATGGGCTGGTTCATGCAGTCGTGGCCAGGGCAGGGGAACTTGCCGGGCTTGAAAGGCGGGGCTTTCTTGCCGTTCATGGGGCAGAGGCCGGATAGGGTGTCGTAGTTGCCGTTCTTGAGCATGATCATCCAGAATTGCCATGAATGGTTGTCTTGTACTTGGCAGAGTGATCCCAGGTAGAGTTCTTTCTCAACGGCATAGAGATCCGGGTTGCTTAGGGCGTTGGAGGGCACGCCGGGGAACTTATCCCCCGTGCCGAGCTTGTTTATGTCCTCACTCACCTTATGGATTATTACATTCCCTTCATCTGTCACATTATAATGAAGGTAAATAGACAGACCATAAGAAGAACAAGAACTCTGACAGTTGATAATTCTAAGTTTTGGATTCGATTTATAGATAGATAGATCTCTAGTAATTTTATTTGGCTTATTTGAACATCTGATTGATGTATATATATGCAAAGTTTCTTGATTGAAGCTATTCTTGGCATGTGCGTTGCTGATACAATGACCGACTCACTTCACAACTCATAATAATAATAAAATATAATCACATCATCGACAAACAGCTAGCAGAGCAGCAAGCGTTTTTAACTTTAAAAATGAAATTATTATCGCAAAATCAATAATTAAGTCAGACAACACTTTTGTTCGAGGAATTTTGTACAAAATTCACAAATTCATCCAAAATTCTTCCGTGAATAATGTTACGTCAAATAATTATTTTTAAAATTTTATATTATTTTAAAAATCAATTTTCAAAATATCTTTTTATACCACATTTATTTTTAATTTTTATATTATTCTAAAAATTAATTTTAAATTCAAAATATCATCCCATATCACTTCTATTTTTTAATTTTTATATTATTTTAAAAATTAATTATAAATTCAAAATATCCAATCATCAACTATCAAATACCATTATTCAAATTCAAACTCAAAATCCACCGTTAAAAAAAAAAAAAAAAAAAAAAAAAAAAAAGTAGAAGTAGCAGTAGTAGGTGGTAAGGTGAGGTTAAGGTACCAGAAAGATCAAAGCAATCTGCAGCACGGGGACTGGGCGGGGGCGGGGTAGTCTCCTTCCCAACCTCATTGCAGAAGTTCCAGGCCTCGAAGGCAACGCGGAGGCCGTCTCTCCGCATTCCGGGATCCCCCACGGCAGATACTTCATCTTCAACCCCCACAATAACAGTAATATTAATAATAATAATGTATATAATTATGAGACGCACCATTTCCCCCTCTTTTAAGGAACAAAGGGAAAGTGAACCAGAGAGAGACACACACACTCTAACGAAGAGGACAAATAGCTCTCTCTCTCTCTCTATATATATATATATATATACACACAAATGGAAACCAAAAAAAGAAAAACCAGCAGCTGCTTATGAGTGGTAATAAATATTAGTACTAGTAAAGATTTTGGCGAGATTTGTTATTAAGTAATCAATTAATTATGAGGTGGTGTGGCCTGTGTGTGAATGTCTTGGGATAGAAAGACAGACAGAGAGGCAGAGTGAGAAAAGGGATTTTGTCTGATTCTCATTCCCTTCCTTCTTTCGACGTCTATGCATTTGCTGGCGATTCCACACAAAGAGAGAGAGACGCGCGCACACAGTTGCTTGGACCAATGCACCGGATAGATCCTGGCCGTCCATCGTTTGCACCACAAATCCATAATATTTTCTCTCTGATCTAAATTTATTCTATTTGATATAAATTTTTTTTTTTTTTACTATAAAATTTCTTTTATTTTTATTTACTTTTTTTTTTTAAATTCATGCCGTATGAAATGAATATAAATTTATTTTTTATTGTCATTTAATCGTATTAACTTACGTCTTTTTTCTTCTTACTTCACAATATTCACACGGCCTAATTAATAATTCTCTTTTGTGCTAAGTATTTACCATTATACCTACCAACCCCAACCCAACTAAGTTTTAGACATTCAACAGAATTAATCGTAACTGGACCTTTATCATTTTAGTAATGTATGTAGAGTCTGTCACAAATTAGTTCCATAAGTGAAAATTTTTCGCTGTTTTAGTCCTTCGGCGCCGGAGACGCCCGCGTGGCTCGTCGGACACCTGGCGGACACGTGGATTTTTTTTTTATCTTTTTTAAATATTTTTAATTTTTTTTTTAATTGGACCAAATAAAAAAATAAAAAAATACAAATAAAATTTTTAAAAAAATTTTAAAAAATGAAAAAAAAAAATTCCACGTGTCCGCCGGGTATCGCTGACCTGCGGACACGTCACCTCCGGCAAGCCACGCGGGCATCTCCAGCGCCGGAGGACTAAAACAGCGAAAATTTTTCACTTATGGGACTAGTTTGCGACATGCTCTGTTTACGGGACTAAAATGATAAAAGAATCTATTTAGGGGATTAAAAAAACAGTTTACCCATATATATATATATACATTACATCAGTAAATTCATCTATCTCACCAAAAATCACATATAAGTTTATAACTGAAAATTTCAAAGAAATTAATTAAATAAAATCCTATCAAATTATGGATCTCAATAAGGAACAAAATTTAAAACAAATCATCTGCTGCGGTCGAAGAAAAACACACTCAGTCCACTGTGAATTCTAGTAAATTGTAAGTTTATAATAATTAAAAGAGCAAAAATATCTGCAACTCCGTTCAATTCTTTTTTTGTTCAAATGTATTTATCAAAATTAGTTCCACACAAAATAAAATTCATCGTTGTTTAATTTTACCGTTCAAATTATAACAAACTCCGACGTGGCTGTTATAGACTAATTTGACAGCTGAGTCGAATCGAACACAACCGTATCATATAGAATACAATTATGTTGAAACATGCGGCCACCATCTTGACTAATTTAAACACGTCCGTGTTTGTCCTCAAAACATACTCGCAACCATGTTTATACAAACACCAGGTTAATATTAACTTAGGTAAACACAACCATGTTTCATAACATACATGGTCATATTGGACCTCGTTTACATAAAATAAACTCTAAGAGATAACACAAGAGCTCATTGTGAAAAAAAAAAAAAAAAAACTTTGAGTTAGAGTAAAATAATGGTACGTCCATGAAATTTTGATGATTTGATTTTTCTTCACAAAAATTCAACACAGTTGCTTTAAAATTAATCCTTAAATTAACTTTGATGAAGAGTACGGACAAAAGTATTTGCCGACTTGTCTCTCCAAAATATTAGATGAGGAGAGAGAAGATAGATCAAAGAGAGAGGAGAGAGATGAGAAAAGTGGCTTGCGATGGACTTTCACTACTCGAAGTCCTCTTCTAGTCCAATCAATTCTTGAACTTCTTCAGGATTGCCTTGTCGTAGGTGAGAAGCCATCTAAACAAGGGTATTGTATTTGCTCTAATCCCACATGTCCTTTCAAAACACAGTCGACAGAGCCCCGTAAGGGATGGCTTGTGATGCGGGGGGGAATGAATTTGTAATCATGATGTCATGGGTTCAAATTCCGACGCTTCTACGTTCATCTGTCACACATAGTTCGTCTAGTATGACTCGCCTTGTCGGACCTAGTTTGCAGAATATTATGTTCGGCCAACGGTTCATCCAATGCGCACGTTCGGATAGCGGTTACGGATTCTCATATTATTAAAAAGCACTGTTGACAGATACTCATTGTTTCAAATTTCCCACCTTTTGAAATGTGGAGTTGGAATGTTGAAAATATAAAATTTTTGTTAAAGATAATAATAATAATAATAATAATAAATAAATAAATTATTTTCCGTAAAAGTAAACTTCAACATGACCATGCTTTCTTTTTCCTTAATTGAGGGCATTGACTCATTTCATATGTGCATCGTCAACTCCCATGTATAAGTAATTTTTCAAATTAATATATTATAATCTCCATATACTTCCTTATCAATTATTAATCGAATATTCATGATTGGCCATACAATAAAATGAATATTAAGAGAAACTTGAACAAACTAATAAAAGAATCAAAATTTAAAAGTTGTAGCTGTCGACTGGCTCTATGAATGGCGAGTTGGATAAATTTCAATTGTCCGGACACACTATTGAGGTTGAGTAGGGGGATGACAAATATATTTATATAGGTCTAATTTGTTCTCTTATCACTTCTTGTTTTTGTTTTTTTTTATGATGTGGGGATCCGCGGCCGCTACCTGGAAGTGCGCATTGGGTAAACTCGCGGCCGAACCTAATACCTTGCAAACTAGGTCCGACGGGAAAGTCACACTTGTTAGTAAAATGAAATAGTGTTTTTAAGACAATTTCACAAATTTGTTAGTATTCTCGTTATTTCAGATAATTGAAATAATTTACTAATACCTTTACATGCTATTTGAGTCAAAAATTTTGAAAAATTAAATAAAAATGGTAAGAAAATGACTCTATTTTACCTAATCCAATTCACCGGTGTCAATGAATGTATGTATTATTGTCATAGAGTTGTAACAACTATGTGTATCAATGTATAAACAAAAATATTAGCACATTTTCAGTTTGTTTATCCAATGTCATGGATGAGGGAATCTAATCCAAATTTATTCACCATATATATATATATATATATACTTTCTTCGCCTCAAACACTCTGCAATATTTTTTTTTTATTTGTCTCAAACTCACTACAATATTTTCGAATTTAGAAATAATTAAATATATATACAATTCACTTTTATCTCATCGCATCACTTAAATAAAAAATAAATATGTATTTCTCTCTACAATCGCATCACGTAATCTCCAAAGTACCTCAAATTATCCAACTTAATACTATCAATCAAAATTATCTTGTCGAACTCAAATATTGCACGGTGTGTTGGGACGAATGAAGTATTATTTACCAACAATACAAAAACAAGTCCATTCAAATTTATCAAAAATAAAGGTAAAAACATATTTTCTTATATTTCTTGCTATACAACTATTGTACATAAACTTGTATTGTCTAATACAATAACAATTACAATATACAAGCTAGTCTCATAAAGAATTTAGTCATCTTACTTTAAAAAATTGTGAATAAATCGTTTAATTGCTAAAACATTTTTATCCATAATGTTGCAAAAAAGAAATCAAGAATTGAATGTGAGAGTCTTTCTACTAGCACTATTTTAATAGGTTATGATAATATTGTAATAGATATATCTATGCTCGTAATAAGCAATGAAAATGTCATATAAAAATTGTACTTGCATATTAGATAGATGCAAGATAGATATAATTTTACAATATACGACATAGTATAAACTATACCGTATAAAATATACAATACGTAAGATAACATACTAATTATGTTAATATAATAATTGACAATATATGATATATTATCACGTAATACACGAATCATGCTAAAAAACTAAGACAATGCCGGTATAGAAGAGAATGTCATATATATTTTTATTTAAAGTAATATATGTTGTTTGTTGTTTTATACTTTTTTTTTTTGTTTTAATTTAAAATTGTACACTCCAAAATTTGACCAAAGGCCCAACGCAAACGGGAGCCCAACCGAGGGAGACTACGGCTCACAAGAAGGCCCAGATCAGTAAACTACGAAGTCAACGGAGAAACGGATAAAGTATAATTTGAAAGAGAGAAGAGTTTGGGGAGGTTGGAAAAGAATAAGGGCTAAGAATCTTATCCGAACCAGGTTTAGGGAATAAAAGGAAGGAGACGGGCATTCCCCAGAGGATCTTCTTCTACATTAATTTTTTCTTTGCAATTTTAATTTCCGGTATTATTTTCAGATTTCTACAGTTTTTTTCCCGTTAATTCCAATTCAATTTTTTTCAGCATTCATTCCAATTTTGCCTATTTTCCTCATTAATTTTTCGGTTATCGCGAGATAGCCCGGATCCTTTCTTGAGGAGGCCGGGGAACCCTACGATTAAATCAATTCCGACAGGCTTTTCCGATTAAGCCGTCGGTGGCGATTTTTTGACGACAACATATTGGCACGCCTAGTGAGACACCAACGTCTCGCGACCCTTGCATGCAACTTCGGAAAAGGAAATTGACGCCGCCGACAGTCATAGAGACGTCAAAGAACAAGGAAACAGTCGGCGACTCATCCTCGCATCCCGCACACGAAGTACCCCCACGGGACGCGACCTCCGCCACGGTCGGGGGATTTGATCCTATCGTCAGCCTCTCGGCCAGCGTGCTCCGCGAGCAAACTCGGGGGGAAATTCAATCTTCCCCCCACGAATCTGCTCTGGAAATGTCCAAATACATTACAGATATACTCAAACCTGCCATACGAACAGAATTCGCACTACTCCGGGAGGAAGAACTTCGAAAAGGCAAGGTTCCCATGACAGGCTCTAACCGCGCCCGAGTCTTGGCCAAATCCTGACTTCTCGGCTGATCTCGGAGCAACGTCCTAGGCGC